GGGGGCCCATGGGAGGATGATGTGACACAACCCCAGAGGGCAGGACAGCCGGGAGAGGGACGCTCGTACCCCCCCCGGAGCAGGGCTGCGGGCAGCGGCTGGCCGAGCCCGGCGCACCGGGATGCTGAGATGGCGCTCGATGGCGGCTGTTTGCATGGCGGCTGCGGCAAACAGCCTCTCCCCGGCATATCACGTCCCTTCGCCCTCGTTTCCCCAAACCTGCGGGCTGTCAGGCTGGGACGCTCCGCCGGGGAGGCTTCAAAGCTGAGCAGGGAGCTCAGGCTGTGCCATCACGACGTTCGCCCCAGCATCCATCCCCCTTGCAACAGAGACATCAAAAACATCTCAAAATAGCTCCTGAAGCAAGGGCGTCTTGCCAGCTCAGCTGCTGTCCTCTCCCGGCCCCGCCGCGGCGGTGCTGCATGGCAGAGGCACGATGCTCGCTCGCCGGCGGGGCAGCGGGGACGGGGTCGGTCAGGAGGGGCCCGTGCCAGCAGTGGCTCCCGAGGAATGGCAGCTGCTTTCTTGCCCGGCGGCAGCCTCAAGGCCAAGGGACAGTGGGGAGCATCGATCCATGGGGCTGTGGTCCCCACACCGCTTTGCCCCGTCTCTGCGAAGGGCAGGTGGCCCGGCATATGTGACAACAGGCTGTCCCCAGCGGGAGGGGGGCACAGCGCTGCCCGCGCGCTGGGAAACTCCCGTCGTCGAGATTTTTCCAGCCAGGTGCAATTTCTTATCTTTTTTGCTGAGAAATGGAGAGGGAAGGTCTGGGGCAGAGGGAGGAGGGCCCGGAGCATCGCTCCCTGCTGCCTGCTCTGCCCTGAGCCATCACCCACCAGCACCAGCTGGCAAAAGCGTTACCAGGATGCCATGGCACTGGTCCGAGGGGGAATCGCCCACCTGGCCGAAACATGCAGAGCTTGCAAATGTCTTGATAGGAAGGTGTATTCACTGCGGTTTATTTTCCCCCGGGCTGGGAGCATGGCCGCCTTCAGCTGCTTACACCCACCCTGAGGGTCAGCTGTCAGTACAGGGCGGTGTGCTGAGCAATGGTTTTCTTTCCCCAAAAAAGCAGTGAATAGTGCCAATAAGCCACCTTCGAGGGTGCTTCTCGCTATGGCATGGCCCAGCAGTGCCAAGAAGCCACCGATGGGTTGGCTGGTTGCAACGCCTCTCAGAGCCTGGGCGAGAGGCTCCTCCGAGGGCTGCAGCCCCCAGCCCACCCTTGCACCCATCGTTTGCTGGCTGTATGCAACAGCAGCCCATGCATGCAGGTCCGCCGTGGCGTGCAGAGGCAGCGTGAGTGCCGTCCCACCAAAAAGCCTCCCTGGGACATGCTGAAGGACACGGGCCGGCGGCCAGCACGCCGCTATTTCATTGTGGTCACTCCGTCTCACTGCCGGACAGGGCAGTCGCTCTGGATGTGCTGGTTTCCAGCCTCGGCACCAGCCCATCGGGTGCTGGCCGGGAGCCCCGTGGAAGGAGCACGCAGGCTATAGGGCGGTTATTATTATTTCATTCAGCCAGTCACTTCTTTCTGATGGCAAATCCCCGCTTGGAGAGCCGGAGTCCAGGGAGGGCAGGCAGCGAGCAGCCCGCAGGCAGGGAGGAGCTACCAAAACCTCCCCTCGCTCAAGGGACAGTATGCCCGTCGGTCAGAACAACTTTACGGAGCCTACCAGCAGAGACAACCCCAAATCGGAGCTGCTAGGAGCTTTGCAATACAGGAGCTACCCGAATTTCCCTGGCTCCTGTCCAGCTGTGGGTGCCGGCCAGCGCGACGCTGCCTGGCCCAGGGCAGGGTGAGCCGCGTGTCTCTGCTGGGCGGGCATCCTCAGGCTGTGTCCGCAGCCCTCCTCCGGCCGTCAGCCGCGGGGCCGGGCAGAACTGTCATCTCAGGTTCTTAACGAAGGAGCCGTGTTGGCCATGTCTGCCAAAGTCCTTCTGCCGACGCGCCTTAACTCAGCCCAAGACGCCGGCAAGCAGTGGGCGCCGCGCTGCAGACGGCATGTGGGCAACCGGGTGTACCGAGTCCTGCTGGTAAATTTACTCACTACTTATTAACTGCTATCTGCAAATGCCATAAACATTTATGATCCCGTAAAAAAATAGACCTGATACTCTTGGGGGAGACAAGAGCAACCTTTCGCTCCTTGTGGTGTCATCTGCCATGTATTTTGAGCTGAAAGTGTAATAAAAAGAGCAGGATACAAACTGCTGCCTGCAAAAGGTGAATAAAACCCCACGGGGTGAGGAGGAGCAGGGCCGGCCAGGGCGAGGGACGGCTCTGCAGCGGAGGCACCGGCTGAGCGCGGAGGGGAGGCGTGCTGGGCTCCTTCTTCGGTCGTCAGCTCCCTGATTACCCATTTGGAAAGGGATTTTCAAGGAAGCCCAAGAGAATTAGGTGCCTCATTGCCACTGGTGTAACGAGTGCGTGATTCAGGAGATCCCAAACCCCTGTGGCTTAGGTCTTTTCTGCAGAACGGGATGATTTTGTTCCCCTTCAGAGATGTGAAACCACAGTGTACAAACTCGGGGGCTGCAGAGGTGAAGGGCTTGCTATGCTGAGCTCCTGGGGATGCGGGGGCTGCAGGTAACGACACACGGACGCATCCCTCTGGTCCTGCGGGTTTGCCCATCTCGGCAGGGGCTGGATGCTCCTGGCTGGGACGGGCAGCGGGGAGAGGGCAGAGCCAAGCGTGGGGCAGGGTTTTGAGTTAATGCACCGCCACAGCCAGCCCTGCTCAGGGGTAGCTCGAGCCAGGATGGCGCACCAGTGTCCCGCGCAGGCTGACGAGCCACTGATGAGCGTCCCGCTCACACCTTTCCCTTTGCACTTGCAGAAAACGTCACCCAGCTGATCCCCGAGCCGGGCAGCCTGCTGCACTCACGGGTGCTGCAGTACCGGGAGCTGCTGGACTCACTCCCCATGGACGCCTACACGCACGGCTGCATCCTGCACCCCGAGCTCACCACCGACTCCATGATCCCAAAGTACGCGACCGCTGAGATCCGCAGTAAGTTGCCTCTCCAGCGGGGCTGCCCAGGGCTGGTGTCAGCGGGACGGCTCCCCCAGCCCTTCCTTTAGGCTCCGTTTGGCTCCACAGCCCGGCCAGCCACCCTGCTCTTGCTCATCTCCCCTTTCCAGCAACACGGGCAGGGACAGAGCTGGGAAATGGCAAAGCACAGCTCCTTTGGGAGCTGCAGGCACCCTGTAGAGGCTTCCTAACCCTGGGCTTGTCCAGGATCCCATGGGCCACGCTTCTCACCCAGGTATTTCTAGGGCATGTGAATTTGCTCCCTCTCCCGCACGTCCCCTCTCCCTCCAATAGCTCTAAGGGCAAAGGTGGGAGAGTACAGCCAGACTGAGTTGCAGAGCGGATGAATCGGCATAAAACTGTGTACCTGACCTTCAAGCGCTCATGAAACATTGACGATGCTTAATATAACTCAACGGCAAGGATGGCTCCTGGACAGAGTCCCTCGCCAGAAAAGTGACCTTGTTAGGAGGGCACCGGCGTGCCCTACGTCCCTCCCCTCCTTTAGGCTCCGGACCCAAACGGTGCCCGTAGCAAACGCCGTTACCCCCAGTCCCTTCAGCTGTCTGGGTCATGGATGGTCCCTCCGAAATGGGATGCACTCGCACACAAAGAGCTGTTCTGAGGAATATCTCAGGGTCTGCCCTGCCTCCGCCAGCACCCCGCACAGGTGGCTTTCCCTGTGTCACCAAGCGTCACCTCCACCCCCAGACCTTGGGCAGAGGCAGGGTGCAGAGCCTGTCCCCTCCCCAAAGGGCACTGCTGTGATGGCTTCAGTCCCGGTCTGCCTCGCATCACCTCCCTGGCACTCTGCCAAGGTCCTTAAAAATATCTCCCCATCCAAACCTCCCCGCTGGTGGCATTTTTCCCAAGCCACTGCAACAGCGAGGCTGCGGGCAGGCCCGTGGGATGCCCCAGTGCTGGTGGTGCCCTTCCTCCCCAGCACGTCCCCTATGCCCAGGCGATGGCTCGGCTGCTCCATTGCAGCGGGTGCCGAGGCAAATCCATGTAGTTGTGTCCCAAGAAGAGGGTGAACCGAGGGCCAGGCTCTCCCAGGGGCAACAGGGGAATGAAACCAGGGTGATATCCAGGCTTCCCTCCAAGTTACAGCCCCGGGAGAGCCGGCTGGGAGCCTTGGCGAGCACGAGCTTCAAGGCTCGCGGTGAAAAACGGAGTTTCACCATTTTGTGGCAGCATGCAGCCCGCTGCTGGCTGCCGCCCTGGCCAGCCCTGGCACCTCCCACAGCCGCACACCGGCAGAGCCAAGCCCTCGCTGGAGGGAAAAAGGAGGGAGAGACAGATGGCCCTGGCTGGAAGAGATTAGCCCAGGTTCGGGTAATTTATGTCGTCCCGAAGGTGTTACTCTCTTCTTCCATTTACTCTGCTCCTTTCCCTCCGTTAGCTCCCTTGCACAAAGCCCTTCGCATCCTCCCTGTGCCCTAGGAGGGATGAAGGTGGGCGTCTCTCCCATGCTCACGATGGGCTCCACGCTACCGAACTGCATCCCCAGACACTGAGCTGGGGCGGGACAGCTTTGTTCAGGAGGGAGCATCCCCTCCTGCGCCGCTCTGCTCCGCTCTGCACACACACCCGCGTGGGGGCAGCCGGCTCGGACATCCCAAAGGATCGACCTGCTGGGGACGGAGCTGCCGGAACCAGGTTATGGGGAAGCTCAGGGATGTTCTTAAAGCAGTGAGAGACAGAGACCTGCTAGCAGCTCCAATATGAGTCCAACAGAGGAAATGAAGAGCTGAACCCCCCTGAAACCCGCAGAGCTGGGGCTCGCTGCGGCCAGGGAGGGGGATCTGCTGTACCCCGCAGCCAGCACTGCCCTGCCGTCGGGGGACGGGAGGCCTGAAGAAGCCACGTGCCCTCCGGAGGGTGCGCGATGCCCCAGCCGCCCACCCGTATGGCAGCATGGCAGCAGGAAGCCACGGATTTGGCCCATTTTAGCTCTCCGGGGTGTTTTTCTTGGAGCCACAATACTATTTCACATGCAGGATGAGGTGCTTTACTACCAGTCACCCTTACCCCTGCCAAACACAGCCCCCCCAGCCCCTCTCTGTCTCCCCCAGGACATTTAGCTAACGCCAGCACAGAGCTGATGAAGCTGGACCACGAAGAGGAGCCGCAGCTATCGGAGCCCTACCTCTCCAAGCAGAAGAAGCTCATGGTAAGTGAGTCAAAGCCACACACATCTCTTTGGCAGTGGGAGGACACGACCCATGGACCCTCCATGGGCACCCGGTGCCCTTACCTCCCTGCACGGTTGCAAGGATGTGTATCCATCCAACCATCCATCCTAATCCCGATCTCCACCCAGGCCAAGATCCTGGAGCACGACAACGTGAACTACTTGAAGAAGATCCTTGGTGAACTGGGGATGGTGCTAGACCAGATCGAGGCCGAGCTGGAGAAGAGGAAACTGGAGTACCAAGGTAGGCACTGGGATGCGTTTATGGGGTGTTTTTCCACACGAGGCTGAGGTGCAACACCAGGAATGGCTGATGGCTTTGCATCTGATGAGCATCCCCCATGGGGTGACCACCAATGGGGCTGGGGCTGCTGCTGGGTTCTCCTGGTTTTGGGTGCACCGATGTCATGGCAGCCGTGGTCCGGCAAACCACCCCTGCTCTGGGGAGCCCCCGCACCCCTTGCCACAGGAGCAGCAGGACCCCTGTCCTCACAGGGTGATGGCAGGTCCCCTCCGCCCCAGCGAGGGGCCACAGCGACTGATGGCCTGGCTGGTTCAGGAAGGAGCAGGATGGCCCCGGGCTCTTGCACCGCAAGGGACGCAGACTGCTGAAAGCGCTGGGCTGGGGACGTGTCCTGCAGCCAAGCCCCCGCTGGCAGGGAAACCCGTCGGGAATTTGAGGGGCCCTGGAGGGGTGGGAGCCTTTACAGGGCCTGCGTCAAACGCCAGCGGGCGGGAGAGAGGG